TTGTTTGAAGGATCAACAATGGCGACTCTCGATAACTCTGAACCAGAGAAATTAGGTCATAATCATCCACTTTTTCTGAATTCAAATGATAATTCAAGAGCTATTTTGATTCCGTTACAATTGAGAGGACCGGAAAATTACTCTGTGTGGAGCGGGGCAATGCAAATTGCAATTCTAGGTCGAAACAAGCTAGGTTTCATGACGACACATGCAAAAGGGAGAATTACGGTACGAATCTCGCTGATCTCTAGGAACGGTGTAATGCAATTGTTTTATCCTGGTTGATGAACTGTGTTTCACCAGAGTTGTTGAGTGGATTGGTGTATTCCTCGAATGCTAGTGAGGTTTGGGATGATTTGACGGAGCGTTTTGACAAAGTTGATTGTTCTAGGATTTTTTAGATCCATAGAGAAATTGCTACTTCTAGGCAAGCCACTAGCTCAATTTCCACTTATTTCTCAAAATTGAGAGTACTTTGGGTAGAATTTGACAGTTTGGCACCAATTCCTAGTCGTGATGCTGCAAATTCTCGTGAGTTTGTTCAGTTTATGGAGCGTCAAAAGTTTCTATATTTTCTGATGGGACTCAATGAATCTTATGAACAAGCTCACAGTCAACTCTTGATGATGGTGCCAGTTGATCGGTGCCAACCCTGCACTACTACAAAGTAGCGAGAGTGGTCGAAACAGTTTTTACCTGAGATGGACGGGATAGAATTCCACAGAGAGCTAGAAATAGGAATTGGGTTCCTATCTAAATTAGAGATGCATAATTTCTCTTAGTTGCACTTCTAATCGTAGTTGGTCTTTTGATTACTTCTAATATTATGCTAATAATATGCTAAATTAAGCTAAGTTAAGCTAAGAGTAAGATACTTGAAAGGTTGTCTAAATAGTTAAGAAGGAACTAGGGAAATGACTTTCTCCTAGGTGGATAATTGATGGGTTCTCGAGTCTAAGGCAAGATTGTAATGTTGGGGATTACAATATAACCAATGCACTAAACTTCTCACTCTATACCTCTCGGTAGTTTGAGTGATTTTGCCCTAATTGACTTTCTCAAGACCAATTGGGTATGATAATTTGTGCAAGCAATTTAGGTTCAAGTCAGGTATTACTATATCTAGGTTTAACCCTTTAATTGAGGCTATCAATCTCTTGAATACGCCCCAATTCCTTGTTGGACTAATTTTCCTAGACTCAAGTTCTCTTTCTCAAGAAGAACCCAAGTCAAATAGGAACAAATTAGTGTTTGCAACCACTAATTCAATATAGAGGTGTTAATCGGGCCGGGCTGACCCGCTAACAACCCGGTTCAACCCGAGCCAGCCCGGGCCAACCCGTTACTGTACACTCATGTGCGGGTTGGGACGGGTTAGACAGGGGGCGGACTAGTAACGTTAAGTTTTCGCCAAACGGGTACCTGAACCCGCCACAACCCGTTAAGCGATTAACGGGCCTCAGCCCGCGACAGCCCGCAAAACCGCCTAAACTATCAATAACATTGAAAAAAAATATAAGATAGTTAAAAATAATTTTTAAAAAAAACGAAAGCCCGACCCGCCCGAACCCGCTAGGCCCGAACCCCTACGGGCCCTATAGAACCCGAAAAATTCCAGCCCGCTAACAACCCGCCCGTAACCTTAACGGGCTGACCATTTTTGTGTCCAGCCCGTCCCAACCCACTCGATAAACACCTATAATTCAATATGGAAAATACAAATTAGTCCAAATATCAAACATCCATAGACATTCAAGCCTTAAAACTCAAGACCCATCAAATACCCATACTAGGGTTGAGCCACAACCCTAGCTAATGGGTCTAGCTACTCATGATAATAGAAGACAACTGATAAATAGATGAAGAAAAACCCATAAGATTTAATTACAAGCTAATACTTGAAGATTCAATGATAAAACAACTCTAAAATTACTCAAAATGGTTAGGAAACTCTATTCATGAGCGCAGCTGAATGTTAGAATACAACTGATGACCTAAAAATGAAAAAAGAAACTATTTATACTAGGCCGAATTTTCTGGACAAAAATACCCCTGCGGGGGTATCGCGGACCACAAGAAATGGAGTGCGGTCGTGGTGAGGCTTTTGGCTTCAAATATCTACTCTCTGAACTTGGCCACTGCGGGCCGCATAAAATGCACCGCAGCCGCGGTGGCTTCTGTTACGGTCCGCATAAAAAGGACCGCAGACCGCATTGGCATTGATTCTCCAAAGTGGCAACTCTTTGAACTTCGTCTTTGCGGAACGCACAATATCGAGTGCGGCCGCGGTGAGGTCATTGCGGTCCGCACAAAATGTTTTGTGGCCGCAATGCTTGAGTTTCCAAAATTTTGCACTATGTTGCACTGTGCTTGGACTTCTTCTTGGTACTTGTGCATGTTTCACTCCTTTTTGAGCTGGTTTTGACTAGTTGTCACCTTTTTAACCAAACCCTGCAAACAAGTACAACATGTAAGCCTTTGGAACTATTTTGTACACATTTTTAATCAAAACTCAAGTAAGAAGGAGCATAAAATGAACCATAATCCCTAGTTATGTGCCATCAGTGAACAAGACATATTCTATGCTAATGGAACGTGAAAGCCAAAGGACTTTGGCAAGTGTTTCTACTAACATGGATAATGCTGAGATGACAGCATTGATGGCCAATAGGGCTGGAAATCAGCAGAAAATGAGGAAGAATTACAACCTCTTCTGTGATTTTTGCAAGATAAAGGGTCATACTAAGGAAGTTTGTACAAAATAGTGGGGTATCCAAATGATTACAAGTTCAGGAAGAAATACAACACACAGGTAGCAGCAAACATAGCAGTTGAACAGACTGCATCTGCAGGATGCGCACTAACCCCTACTATGCAAACTTTCACTCCAGAGTAGTACCAACAGATTTTACAACTTCTAAATAGTAAGCCTACAGAGGTCACAACTAATGCAACAGATCTTGAGTCAGGTAATACCACATGTTTAATGACATTTTTGAATCAGGGAGATTGGATTATAGACAATGGAGCCTCCAATCACATGACCTCAGAGATTGACTTATTGAATAATACAGTTCCATTAGACAGTAGTAGCTCAGTTCACTTACGAAATGGAAATCTAGTTAAAATCACTCACAGAGGATCAGCTAATATTTCCAAGGATTGCAATATTAATGATGTACTTCATGTTCCACATTTTAAGTATAACCTACTATCAGTTTTAAAACTTACCAAGGATTTTGCAATGCTTGGTTGCATTCTTTTCTGATATATGTATGTTTCAGGACATCTACATTGGCAAGGTGTTGGGGATTGGTAGTGAAGCTAATGGGCTATACATTCTTAGGAGTTGTCTTCATAAGAAACAACCATCTACACCAACTGTAAATACCATAGCTATGCAGATTTCAACACAGAATAAGGAGAGCTCAATAAACCTGGAAGTTTGGCATCAAAGACTTGGACATCTGCCTATGGAAGCTATAAAGAAAATGGCAAGCTCAAACAGCATTTCAGAAAAGATAGTTCAGAAATTGTACGTTTTGATTGTTCTGTTTGTCCATTATCCAGGAAAACTAAGTTGCCATTTCCTGTCAGTATTAGTAGAGCAAAAAGTCCATTTGATCTTTTGCATGCAGATATATGGGGTCCTTATAGGGGGCCTACATATGAATAAAAGATTTTTTCTTACAGTTGTTGATGACTTCTCTAGGACCACCTGGTTGTTTTTTATGAATGCCAAAGATGAAACCTATTGGTTGATGAAAAGACTAATTTTCATGATTCATACACAGTTTAATTGTTCTGTTAGAGCTATAAAAACAGATAATGGATCAGAATTTATCAATTCAGATATGAAACACTTTCTAGAGTCACATGGAATTATTCACCAAAAAACTTGTGTGTACACTCTATAATATAATGGTATTGTGCAGAGGAGACATAGATAAATTCTAGAAGTGGCAAGAGCCTTAAGGTTCCAGGTTGCCTTCCCTCTAAGATTTTGGAGTGAGTGTGTTCTTACAGCAGTACATATCATAAATAGGTTACCTTCTATATTTTTTAAAAGGTAAATATCCATATGAAAAGCTGTTTAATACTGAACCTTTTATAGATCATATGAGAGTATGTGGATGCTTATGTTATGTCGTGAATGTAAGGAGGCATGATAAGTTCTCAACCAGAGCTTTACCCGCTGTGCTATGGGGTATTTTCCAACAAAAAAAGGCTACAAACTGTATGATCTTCAATCTAAACAGTTTATTGTTAGCAGGGATGTAGTCTTTAAGGAACATATATTTCCTTTCAAACAAATGAAGCTATTAACTATTCCAGTCTTTCCAGTACTTGAGCCAGCTGATGTACCAAATACTTCAGAAGTATTGTATGAAGATCAAGCAGGTGAACATAATGCAGACCATGATAATGATGCTGAACAGAGGAATGATGCAGACACTGAAGAACCAAACATTTCACTTAGTACTTCTCCAGTACTAGTTGTTGAAAGTGTTGGTCTTGATGTTGTACCACAATTGCAAACTGAATCTTCACATTTTCAAGATGTGGATGATGCACTACCAATTGAAGTCAGAAAACATCCCAGAACTGCAGGACCACCAAAATTGCTGCAGGACTTTGTGTCCACCTCATGTGCATATCTTATGTCAGACTACCTGAGTTATGATAGGTTATACCCTTCCTATGCTAGGTTCCTGTCAGCTCAATCCTCTATATTTGAGCCCAAGTATTATCATGAAGCTTCAAAAGATGAAATATGGGTAGCTTCTATGCAACAGGAAGTCACAGCATTAGAAGAAAATAACACATGAGATGTTGTTGATCTGCCTGTAAATAAAGTTCCTATAGGATGTAAATGGTTATACAAAGTGAAGTACCAAGCTTATTGTAAGGTGGAGAGACTCAAATCTAGACTTGTAGCCAAAGGTTTCAGTCAAAAGGAGGGCCTAGACTACAAGGAAACATTCTCACCAGTGGCCAAGATGGTCACTGTTAGATCAGTCATTACAGTAGCAGCATCTAAACATTGGCACATTTATCCAATAGATGTGCACAATGCATTCTTGCAAGGTGACTTATTTGAAGAGGTGTACATGCAAGGGGGAGTCCAAGAACAAAGTGTGCAAGCTAAAGAAGTCGCTCTATTGCTTGAAGCAAGCTTCAAGACAATAGAACTTGAAGCTGACAGAAGCTCTTAGAGATTTGGGATTTGTTCAAAGTCATTTTGACTACTCCTTGTTTACACAACAGAGAGTCTAAACTTTGGTTGTCATTCTAGTCTATGTAGATGACCTCCTAGTTACAGGAAACAATCCTAAACTGATTCAATCTGCTAGGGAAAATCTGCAAAAGAAATTCAAAATGAAAGATTTGGGGGAACTTAGATTCTTTTTGGGCATAGAATTTCCTCGCAACAAGGCTGGCATTCTGATGAATCAGAGGAAATATGCACTTGACTTGATTACTTATTCTGGTCTAGGGGGAGCTAGGCCAGCATCCACTACATTAGAGTGCAATCAAAGGCTGACTACAACAGAATATGATAAAGTTGTCTTGGGTTCTGAGGATGCCACAAGTGCAGGAGTCAAGGACCATGTGTTTCCTGACCCTGAACCTTATCAAAGGTTAGTGGGCAGGTTGCTATACTTAACCATGACAAGGCTTGATATAGCCTATGTTGTTCAGGTTCTAAGTCAATTCATGCATAAACCTAAGAGATCACATATGGATGCATAATTTAGGGTAATTAGGTATGTCAAAAATGCACCAGGATTAGGCTTATTGACGCCCTCACAACAGTCTAATAGCTTGGTTGCATTTTTTGTGACTCATATTGGGCTTCTTGTCCTCATTCCAGGAAATCAGTTACAGGGTATCTAGTCAGATGTATGGCCTCCATAGTGGCAGAAGTGTCATGGTTAGTAGGACTATTCAAGGAATTGGGAATCCAGATTCAGCTACCTATTCCGTTGAATTGTGACAGTAATGTAGCTATTCAGATAGCTGCAAATCCTATTTTTCATGAGCGGACAAAACACATTGACAATGATTGTAATTTTATGCGAGAGAAGATGCAGCAGGGTCTCATCCAAACTCATCACATTAACACCAAGTTGCAATTGGCAGCTATACTCACTAAAGGTCTATGGAAGGTCCAACACTATTCTTTACTTAACAAACTCGGGGTTAAATATTTGTTCATACCAATCAGCTTGAGGGGGAGTGTTGAGATTAGTAATGATAGTGGTGATTAAGCTTCATTAGTTAGTTAGTTAGTTGTAACTAAATTACCTTAGAATAGAGTTAGTGTACCTCAAGTTAGCTTTAGTTTTAACTCTATTTAAGGAGTAGAGTTGTGTTAGTTTGTATGGCTCCATCAAACTGTAGAGTAACTGGTCCTCTACAAGATTCTGCTGAGAATGCTAATAAAATAGTATGTAAATGAGGCAGAGGATTTTACGGGGAAAAATCCCACACAAGGGGATCAAAAAACCATGACCTACACCTGTAGACTTTTAACTTCACTAACTTGTAATCTACCTATTACAAGCCACTTTACAATAATTTCTATTGCAAAGGATTTACTCAAATAACTTGTGGTACTCTTACCATAAGCCACTTTGAGATTTCCTAGTTACAAAGGCTTTTTCTAACTTATGATGCTCTCACCACAAGCCACTTTGTAACTCTACAATTACAAAGACTTTTCCTTATGACTAAATCTAGTCACAACATATACTAAAAGGAGTTTACGGATTTTCAAGAGGATTCCTAATCAAACGTTTCTACGTAAGCATTTAGGAGATACAATAAGTACAACAACAAGGTTACAACTCAACTAGGACAACAACAAGATATCTTTTTGGAACTGGTCTGTAGTTGCGTTCAACCTTGTTCTTCAAGCTTGTGAGGATTGATTTCTTCTGTTTTTGCAAGATGCTTGAATGAGAAATAAAAACCTTCCAGTGATGTTTTATATAAAGCTCATTGTGGGTACATCTTGATCACATCACTTGAAATGATGTGAGTACTTTATTTGGTTAGAGAATGAGTGGGCGGACAGTGCAGTACGACAAAAATAGTGTCGTCGGTCACTTCATTTCCAGTTGTGTCCAATTGACTCTGTACTGCTATGAGGAAACCACAAGAGTATCAGGTTCTTGTGTGGGTTCCTAACTCCTGAAGCTGTCGCACTTCACCTTTAGCTGGAATCCGTTAAAGCTTGCAGCAATCCAAGTAGGTTAGGTTCCCTATCTGGTTCTTAACAGTAAGTTTGTTAGATCATCAAAACATAAGGCAAGAGTATTTAAAGTCTATCAATTTCCCCTTTTTTGATGACGACAAACTTAACATTTATAGGGTGGAATTTGGGCAGTAAGAACCAGTTTCAAAGTATCAGGGAACTCAGGAGAACATAGAGTTCCCCCTGAGACTATGCCTTATCGTAACAATAGCTTACATGGTCAGAGCATTAAGAACTAGTTCCTCTCATGTGTTTCTCTATGAGTCATATTTTCCCCCTTTTGGCATTATTAAAAAGAACATCAGTACAAAGAAGTCCAGCTAAGCTAACTCATACCACATATGTGCACACAATCATGATAGAGAATAGAACACACAGAGAGAGAGAGAGTACTGACATAATAAAATGAGGATTTATATTAATAATAATTTAATATGCCTTTGCCTTTGATAAAAACGATAGGCAACATTTGGACTTGCTAATGGGAGCAGTAGTGTTTCATCTCAACCATCAAAAAAAGAAAACAAAAAAACATCCCCCAAATCATCAACAAAGAACCAAAAAAAAACATAAGAAACATATCCAGAAAATTGGTCACTGAAGGGGTACTTAGGGGGCACTATGAGTAAAAGGCTTGGTAGCTGCAACAAGTGTCTGGAGAACAAGGTCTATTCGAGCGTTTCCCGACTTCTGCTCATTAAGAAGTTCTGCCTTCAGGTTCTCAACTTGCGCCCTAATATCAGCATTCTCCTGTGTCAAATGAGCCACTTCATCATTCGACATGGGAACCCCTCGGGCTTGCTGACCTTCCAGGATAGCATTTCTGGCCTTCAACCGACAAATTTCCTCAGTTGCATTGTTATGGGCATTGATAAGCTGAGAAACGGTTGATGTACTTCCTACCCCTCCATACTTTTCCACACACTCGCACTCTTCCAAAGTTGTCTATGAGAAGGTCTGCTTTCGAGTCCCCATTTTACCTATTCCCAGTGGAACTTTAAAGAATTTGAATACTGGGTAAGCAAGAATCCATAGGGAAGGCCATGATTACCGTCCTTGAAGGTGGCAACCTTTTACATGTGTTCTATCATAATAGCAGGCAGACTCACAGGATTGAAATCGTCCAGTTGCTCCATTAGGAATAGGTCGGATTTAGAAGTCACTGACCTCCTTTCAGCTCTAGGCAATAGGACTTTGTTAACCAATTCAAACAGCAGCTGGTAAACAGGGAGTAGTGCTTTCTTATGGATCTGGTCTCCTTTCTGATTAGCATTGTCTTTCACCACTGCATTTCTGAAGTTATACTGACAAACATCTCGTACACTCGACACCCCAACTGTAGGAACTTTTAAAATCTCCCCAAGCAATTTTATATCAAAGGCGATGTCCACCCCATTGACCAAAGCACAGACATGGTCAGTATCAAGAGGCTAGCGAAAAAACTTTGTACCTCTTCCTCATACACCTTAGGTGCATCAATGTGAAATAGATGCACCCATTGTTGAAACTCGACCATTTCCAGAATTTGGCAGTACTCCGGCCATCTCAAAGATTGCTGGGTCAAATGTACAACCTAACATAACTTTTTGATCCCTCAGGCGCTCAGAGCCAAGGCTAACTTCACTTCTGATTTTCTTCATAGAACTAGGTTCTTCAACAGATTCAGACTTGCGTTTCCCAAACTTCTCTCCACTGACTTTGCCTTTTCCCTTGGACTTGACTAGTACATCCTCATCAAACATGGAAAACTCACTCACTACCTCCTTCATCTTGGACTTAGATGTTGACCCTTTCTCCATTGAAACAGGCTTTGTCTTTTTCGAGGACCGCCTAACAAGTGAACCAGGTTCCTCTGGTGTTCCCTATTCCACCTCGACTACAGGGATAACCTCATCACTTATAGGTACACCATCCTTCGCCAACTTTCTTCTTTTCTTCTTACTACTCTTCTTGCTCTTTTGAAGAGCAGAGTCATAGGCCACTTTGACTTGAAGCCTGGTAGTAGGTCGTTTGATTTCAGACTCAGAGGTGGACACAACCCTTCGCTTACTTATGAATGCATCCAGAGCCACATTATCCAGGTCTTCTTCATCACAGGATCGCATTCAGGTGCTTGAATTCCCAGGGGCACAATATCAAATGCGGGAACAGTATTGTCCTGAGGATGAGAGCCTTGACCTGGGTCCTCCGAGAGGGATTAGGTTCCTCATGTGATGCCCCAGTAGTATCTGCTACTGCATCCCCTTCAACAGCCACAATGGCCCATTCTTCCTCCACACCGTGTGTCTTATTTTTCTGGGATGTAATTTCATGCAATACCCCATCAGCGGATACTACAAACACAGTTACAACATCTTTTTCTTCTTCAACTGGTGCTTCCACAACCATGGAATCGGTGGCAACAATGGCAGAACCCTTTGTGAACTCAGTATTTTGAGCTTGTTCTCCACTTAGGGTTTGACTGGTGAGAACAATAGACGATGGGGAGAACAGAACAATAGTTTCAAGGGTTTCTGAGTTGGTGTGACTGCAGCAGCTGGAGTGATAGAGGGTGAGGAAGGCTTAGTCAAAACGAAAGGTTCCATAGATGGGTCAGTGGTAGTTACAGCTGAGGCAGAGAGATCAGAAGTTTTCTCAGCCATTGAAAGAAGTGGTGTGACGATCCTTCCCTTTTGGGTGATTCTAGTGTAGGACATATGGTCAAGAAGAGCAGAAAAGAGGGTTTTTAAAAGTAGAGGATAATTATGAAGGGAGAGTAATATGCACTGGTTCTGAAACGTCGGTTGGGCGTGGAGAATTGCAATGTTTCAAAGAGAGATGGAACGTTTTGAATTGAAGGGACGTGACAGCAAGATCTAGAAAGTTGATGACATGGTAGTTGTATTTTGTACCCTTTTTAAGACATATATTAAAAGGATGCACAGAACTACTAACCTTTAGTACGAGAACCTGGTTCTTGAATTTTTTTTCTTTATTTTTGTTTTGAAAAGAATCAATCCTCTTTTATCATTCATGCACTGCATCTATCACCTCTATGCTCATCATGCGTGTTTACCTGCAACGATATTGAAGTGAGTTAGACATGGCCAAAAAACACTTTGAGCCAGTTATTTCTTAAGGATAAAAGCCAGTCAAAGAGGAAACATGTTCTTAATTTGGCTTCAACAGTCCTAGCTTTACTCTATTTCTTTCAAACTGTTCCCTACTTGGTGCCTTGGTGAAACTGTCTGCAGTTTGATCTTCTGTGCTGCAGAACTTCATACATATCAACCCTTTCTCCACATTATCTCTCAAAAAATGATGCCTCACATCAATATATTTTGTCCTTTAATGTTGAACTGGATTTTTGGCCATGTTGAGTGCACTGGTATTGTCACATAAAAGGGGCACACTCTTAGTGAGTACCCCAAAATCCTCCAGTTGCTGCTTGATCCATAGAAGTTGAGCACAGTAGGATGCTGCATCTACATATTCAGCTTCAGTTGTTGATAGAGCCACTGAATTCTGCTTCCTTGTTCCCTAAGAGATAAGACATGAACTTAAGAATTGAGCCATTCCAGAAGTATTTTTTCTGTCCACAAGATAACCTGCATAGTCTACATTAGCATACCCAATCAGATTAAAACTGTCACATGATGGATAATACAGCACCAGGTCATGTGTTCCTTTGAGATATCTTAGTAATCTTTTGGCAGCCTTCAAGTGAGATTCTTTGGGATTTGATTGAAACTTCGCACATAGCCCCACACTGAAAACAATATCAAGTCGATTAATAGTGAGATAGAGGAGATACCCAATAATGCCTCTATACATTGTTTGATTCATAGGAGATTTAGTTTCATCCATGTCCAGTCGAGTGGCAGTTGCAATGGGAGTGTCTATCACCTTTGATGCTTCCATGTCAAACCTCTTCAAGAGTTCCCTGATGTATTTTTTCTGACAAATGAAAGTACCTTTGGGGACTGTTTTACTTGAAGACCCAAGAAAAGGTTTAATTCTCCCATCATGCTCATTTCAAATTCACTTCCCATAAGTTTTGAAAATTCTTCACACAGAGAGTCAGTTGTTGCTCCAAAAATGATATCTTCAACATAAACCTGAAAAATGAGCAGGTTCCTTCCTCGTTTCTTTAAGAAAAGAGTGTTGTCAATTTTTCCTCTTTTAAAACCATTTTTTAAGAGTAACTTTGACAGTCTTTCATACCAAGCTCTAGGAGCCTACTTTAGCCCATACAGAGCTTTGTCCAGTTTGAACATATATTCAGGGTCCTCATGACATTCAAACCCTTGGGGTTGCTTCACATAGACTTCTTCTTTAAGGAGTCCATTCAAAAATGCACTCTTGACATCCATTTGGAACAAGGTGAATTCCATATGAGATGCAAAAGCAATTATAATTATGATAGCTTCCATGAGAGCCACTGGAGCAAACGTTTCATTATAGTCAATCCCTTCCTCTTGATTGTAGCCTTGGACCACTAGCCTGGCCTTGTTCCTTGTGGTAACCCCATGTTCATCGAGCTTGTTTCTGAATACCCACCTGGTTCCTATAATGGTTCTATTTGGGGGTCTAGGTACCAGGTGCCACACATTGTTTCTCTCAAACCGATGCAGCTCGTCTTGCATGGCTGTAATCCAATCTGAATCTTTCAAGGACTCCTTGATGTTTTTGGTTTCTATCTAGGAGAGAAAGGCTGAGAAGGCAAGTGAATTTCTGGCTCTTGACCTGGTTTGTACTCCGGAATCTAGAGGGGTGATGATGTTATCTATAAGGTAAGAGCTTTGGTGTCTCCAGTTAGACGACTGAGGTTCATTCTAAGAGGAGGAAGGTATGTTTGGCTGATTTTCCTCTATCCTTCTGTCAGGTGCTAGTGGGGTTCCCTGAATTGCATCAACCACCTGTTCACTAAGTAGCAGGCAGTGTTGACAGCTTCAGCCAGAAGTTCTTTGCAATTCCACTATCAATCAGCATTGTTCTTGCCATTTCTTCTAGAGTTTTGTTCTTCCTTTCTACTACTCCATTTTGCTGGGGAGTTCTGGGAGCTGAGAAGTTGTGAGTGATGCCATTTTCATTACAGAATTCATCAAATTTGACATTGCCAAATTCTGTCCCATGATATGATCTAATGCATACAACTCTAGACTCCTTCTTCACCTAGATTTTCTTCACAAAGGCTACGAACACTTCAACAGTTTCGTATTTTGTTCTGAGAAACAGAGTCCATGTGAATCTGGAATAG